ACCAACCTCTAACCCAGAGCCTCTGTGTCCAGAGGAGCCTTTCCCACCTTTACGGCCACACAACCACCACCACCACTACTACCGATTCACCACCACCAGTAGCACCGCGTTTCACCACCTGGTCCACCCTACACACGCTTCCTAGTGCGGCGTGTACCTCCTCGACACCCTGTGACGCGTGCTCTACGGGTCCAGGTGCTACTTCCACTTCTCTATATAATACCAGTAGGTCTAGTAAGTCCTATACGTGTCCCTTTCTTCTCTCTGTCACTCCGTTCCAGTACATCGTGCTCCTACTACCACCACCACCATCACCACCGCCACCACCACCACCACCACCGCCACCACCACCACCTCACATCGAACGTACCTGCGCGATCCTACGAGACACCGCGGACGAACAACACCACGTGAAGAGCTAACCCCCTTTCTCACGACGTCACACTGTTTGTCCTTAGTGGCAGCAGACACACAGCCGGTTTATCTGAAGATAGCTGCGAATATACAGCGACCTCCTCGTCTCTCCTTTGTTACTCGGATCGGTTTTACTCTCGTTCTTCGTTACTCTGTGTCACCGGCGGATAACCTTACGCACGGTTTCAAGTTAACCACGAGCCCCGACGTAGGAAATACGCGTCGATTATTCTCCAGCCGTGAGAAGCGACTGGAGCCACCCCCAGCGAAGTCTAAGTCGCCAGCGATGGCATATTCGTCGTCGTGGCTGCGAGAGGGACCACTACGTGCGCGCCGTCGACATCGTCACTACCACCACCATCACCACCACCACCACCGCTGCTAGCCGCCGCCGCCGCCGCCGCTCTGCTGGCGTCAGTCAGCTTTCTATCGATTTTCCGATACCTCGTGACCAACGTTGCTCGATGCGCCGATACTTCGAGCATAAACATCGACTCTGGAGCTAGCCTCCAGCCCGATAACGCGGCCTGCCCTGGCCCCCGGGCTCGATCCGATTATCGAGTGTCCACTCCTTCGATCCTCTTTTCTTTACACCCCCTCCTCCTTCTGCCCTTCGCGAAGCTTCCCCGTTAGTTGGTGCTTCTCACGAAGGTCACTAATCTTCCTTTTACTCGAGCCGAACAATTGATTTATCGTTTAATCACCAAAATGTCCGCAAGTGTCCACTTTGCGGAGGCCAAACAGCCCCCAAGAATAATCACAAATTTTCACGATATCGGGTAATTCCAAGAACAATTCCAACGCAGAGAAACGAATAATCCAAGGATCGTCGAAGAAACTTCAATTTCGACGGTAAGAATCAATCGACCAATTCGACGAGGCTAATCGATCCGCGTTCCTCCACGTGTGTGTCCTTCGTCGTTTGCCAGAACTAAGAAGCCTTCCGCTCTATTCGACGACGCAATTCCACAATCGAAACGCGCATCCCCAAGCTCCGCGGGCAGGGAAGGGGAGGAAGGGGGCCAGTTCCAAGATGTCCTCTCCAGATACTTCTCCTCTGTGTTCTATCTCTCTCTGTAGCAGCGTTGCGTTGCAGGATCCGGTCGAAACGATCGCTCGAACGCGTCGTCGAACGCGTCGATAGGCCGGATCAATGGTGTGCCACGGGGAGGTGGAGGAGGGTGGAGACGGGTCGGAGTAAGGACGAATAGGTGAGGCGTCGATGCGAAACACGATCGATTTTCACCGCTCTTTCTTCTCTCTTTACGTACATATACGTCTATACGTCTATCTTTCTATCTCTTTTTATATTTCTATATACATATCTCTGAACGAAAATGTTTCGTACCGGTCGATGGAGGAGTAGGAATTGTTCGAGCGTCGCGCGGCTGTAACGCTTTATCCTAACCCCGACGGGATCCTCTTCGACTCGCGATCCCTAGCGATGGCCAGGCCCGATGCTCGTGCGCATTCACGCGCACGCGTCCGCGCACCCTTCGAAACCTGTCACCCTTCCCCCACCCTGCCGCCCGCCGTTGTTTCGCTCGGCCCCCCCCTCCACCGCTCTACTCTTGCATCGGAGCGCGTGTCAGCTCGCGAATACGAACGATTTCGAACGCGCTCAATCTACCCGACGTATCTTACGACGCGCGCGAAAAATTCTGCCTCCATTTTATACAATCTATACGTTCGAACCTTCTCTTTCAACCTTTATTCCCGATTACGTAATATCGATAATCGCGTTACGAACGAGCGAATAGCGGAGAGAGGGGAGAGGAAGCGAGCACGGAGTTGCGCAAATCGCGAACGCGACTACTACGTGCCTGTGAGCCGCTTCGTGCGTCCTTCGTCTGTCTGGCTAAGGGCACGGAGGGGAGGGGGCTGGAGGGGGTAGCGACGTGGTGAACGCAGAGGGGTGGAGATCTTGCGACGGGGATCTGTAACGAACTCGATACGCACGGCTCGCGAGGGGAGGACGACGGAGGGAGGTCTCGGGGAGGCGGCCACGGAAGGGATGGTTCGGTGGCGAGCGGTCGAGCAGAGGGGCGCGGGGAACGGTACGAGGGATGGCTCAGGGACCGGCTGGCCGTTCTTAGTACCCCAGGCATTAAGGAATTCGCTGGAGGGAAACCTGTGCCAGGAAAGCCTCGCGTGTTGCACAGTTTTAGGCGTGTACTTAGCCAATTCACCCGTCAAAACGTAACCTGTTAACTGGATTCGCCTCTCGGACAGATATCGAGTATTTTTAGCATACAATTGAAAATCGGTAAAAATTGTAACCAGTTATTTACTTCATTTTCGTTCTTGCTAATCTGGAGGTGATGTATTTCGTATTTAACACAGGCACAATAATCCCTCGATAAATGAACTATCGTGTTCAAATTAGTATCAAATTAAATTTCGGGAATATTTAATGGAGAATTTTCGTATTTTAATTGCCGCTAGGGTTGCTTTGGGAATTTTTCCCTGCAAAGGGTGCTTTCCTTAGGGTTGTTTGGATAATGTGCCATAAAGATACGGTAACTAATACTCCCTCGCTATTTTTGTCTCATAAAGGACAGACCTCGTTTAATAGCTGACAACCTGTGCTGGTCGTCTAGGATTAATTACACAGAATTAATTACAGAAATTCAGTCTGTTGAAAAGAATTGACAATCAAACTTGGTCGTCCTCTATTATTAATACAACCCTTTCTAGTACCAGAAGTACTAATCAATTATTGAAAATTTGTATCGGTGGTTAATTAGCACTAGAATTACCGACCGTGTCAAAATGACCCATTAGCAAGTTTTCAAAAGAAGTAAATGTTCGATACTGGTAAGTATTATCGCTTGCAACTTTTCCACTTTATTTTCCGCACGTTTACTCCTGTTCGCATCGATACGAATCTAATTTTTTAATCGTGTTTTAGTTACATAAAACTTCACTTTTGGAACGTCGCTAATGTAGGTCATTTTGACCCGGTCGGTAATTCTGGTGTTAAAATGTACTACTTAACCCAACGTTAAAGTTCAAATTTTCTACTAGACAAGTTGCAGATCAAACGTCGAACGATTCACATAGAACAATTCTAAATAATTGTATCTATTATCTTCACAGATTTCTACGCATTGACCGATAGAGCTCTTTAACTCCGTAGAACAGTAGAAAATTCGTAGTTTTCGAAAATGAAAAATCACGACAACGAACCGAAAAAATTCCCAAAAAATCACCAATGACAGTCGTCAAAGCGTGAACACCAGCCGGCATAGATCGAGGCACTCATCGGAAACGAGTTTCTCGCGCGAAGAGTCGATCGAAGCGCAGGCAGCGCACGTGAGCCTCGATCTGGAGCACGCTGGTCGAGCGTTTTCCCGCGCGAAAAACTCGAATTGTTCGAGAATAGGGGGGTGCGCACGTGGAACAGGTCCCCTCGATCGATCCTGCGTCGATTCCTCGACACACGGAGGCACCTGACAGCGATTTCGCGGCCGGCTAGGAGAGGCACCCCAGACGAAATCCGTCGGCGTCCGCGGCGAAAATAAAATCGATATCGGCCGAAGCAAGTCGAGCACGAAGGAATAAAAACGGCGTCCCGCTCCGATAGAGAGGGAAGACCACGATTTTTGTCTCGATACTGTCCTTCGATTTTCAAAAAAGTACCAAAATATCGACACAATTCCAATTCTAATTTCTACAGTTTCGTACATCGCCTTTGAAACGTTGCAAATTCATTCTACAATTCGTTAGATTCCTTTATAGGATCTAACTCGTTCTTTGAAAATACTTTTTCAACCCTTTGCAATCCATTGGTACCGTCACGACGACATTCGTAATATGCGCTATTATTGAAGTTTCGTTTATATCAAAATAAAACAAATTAACAAAAGAAAGTGAAAATAAATGAGCTCGTGCAGATTTATAATTTTGTCTTTTCTTGCGATTTTCAAAAGTGTGCTGCAAAATGCTTGAAGTGCAAGGGTGAACTTTTATAATACACTGTGCGACACGCTGTTTGCACAAAAATTGTA